GGACACGGATCTGGCTGCTTTCCTTCCGGGCTTAATCTCGGTGACCATGGTGGGACCGTCGCCCAAATGTGAGTCGTCGAAGCTCTTGCGGTGCTCGAGGTCCTTCAATGTCAGCTTCCCATTGCCATTCTCCGCATTGCTGGCGGGTCCTTGCTCGGCACCTTCTGGTGTCGGGGAATCCTCTCTCTCTTCGTCGCCCTCGCCAGCAACGCCTGCGCCATTGACAGATTCGGTCTGCTCAAATGTGACGTTGCTCGAGCTGTGCTTCAGCTTGTCCAGGTTGAGGCGGGCCTCCTTCATGTGTAAGCGGGTCTTGACGCGCTCAAACACGGTGCCGACCATCTGGGTGAGGGTGCCCTGCGCCATCTGCTGGTTCGCAGTGCTCCGTGAGAGGAGGAAGACATTGTATACTTGACGAACGGCCTTCAGGAGACCGGCACCGTGGACAACAATCTTGTCATTGAGAACGGCGGCCAACAGCGACTTGACGATCTGCAGCTGGACCTCGACGGCGGTCGTCTCGCCTTGGAAACAATCGCAGATGGTATCGATGGCGCGCTCAATGAGGGGAGCTTGGTCGGCTGGAGCATCTTGCTGGCCGTCGGAGGCGCTCGGGACGGTGAAGTAGGAATATGATATGAGCTTGCCGATGCAGTCGAGTGCGCTGGTGGCGAGCTGGACGTTGCCTGTCCTTGTTGCCAGCTGCAACGGGGCGAAGACAATCTCTGGGTCCGGGAAATTCGGCTCGCTCTCCTTGATGGCGGCGAGGGTCTTTTGGAGGGATTCGGTAAGTTGCTTGTTCCTCTGGGCCTCCTTGGAAGCCGCGATGGCCTCCAGGGAGGAAGTGAGGAATTTGAGGGAGCTCATGGGGGAGCAATGGAAGGCCAAAGTGCCATTCGCGTTTCGAGGCGGACGAGTTCGTGATCAACGAGGAGAAGTCGGAGATTGATCTACTCCAGCAGATGCAATCGAAGGTAAGCTTGAGCTGGGCCGGTCATCGAGGGGCGCAGGCGCATGTGCAGGGCGGGCAGGGGGTAGGTATTAAAGTAGGTAATTCGTGGAGAGCCCGGCGATGCGAGATACGTGTCGTTCGGAGGCGACGGCGTCCTTGGGGAGTAAAGGACGGGAAGGTCGTCGCGGCGGCACAAGGGGAGCTTCCGTCGTCGTCGTCGTCGTCGGGCGGAGGGTGTTTGATGACGGTCGTTCTGAAATGAAGAGAGCGGCTCTCCGTATTGAAGGGGTCTTCCAAATCGAAATCCAAATCGAAATGGCCAGCACGGGGCAGTGACGGTCCAAATTTCTTTGAATGGAGGGACCCCTGGCTCTTGCTGGCGTACTGCTGCTAGGTGCTGCTGCTGCCGGTCCAGCGAGAGGACACCAACAAGGTACGTAGCTTGGTTCTGGGGATAAGATACCAGATTTCCTGATGCACGGAGAGGGAGCTGCACTGTGCTGAATAGGCAGCAGAAGCTTGGGATGTCGGCCGCGTCAAACACTGTATCAAACATCAATTGCTACTGTCAACGGTCTCCATCTTTAATGTAGCTGCTGCGAGCTGGAGCCAGTCGAGCCGGTGCAGCATGTGGTTTACGTGGCGGACACTGGGCCAGGGAGGATGCAGTGCTCCACGCTGCGTCATTATGTCAGCTCTCTCGCTAGACATGGGGCGTGGTGGTCCATGCTTTGATAAAGCGCTGAGGTAATCGCCCACAGCCGAGCATGGACCACCTCATTAGGTAAGGCAATCAACAGACCACAGTGGCTTGAATGGCATCAACTGGCAGGCTTCCGACATCGCGTCTGCTGCTCGCGGTTGCGCTTAGAAGCGGCCAGCGCAGGCGACGGAGCCAATTAATGGAGACCTTGATGAGCCCCCACGCCGTGGGCAAGTCGGGCTTCTCATTGGCTTGTAGGCCTTCGGCGTTAGGCGCTCGTCCCTTGTTTTCCCGTTCTTATTCCCACCCAAGTCCGAGAACTTCCTCAGCGCATCCACTGTCATTGGAGGTCACTCCTCGCTGTCACTCGGTCATTCACAACACCGCCTGGGTACAACCAACCAACGGCGACTGCGATTGCGGACCCGGTTGGCTGGACTCACTCGCAGTTCGTCGTTCGATGCATCGGCCACCGGCCACAGGCCACAATTATCGGCGAAACCTGTCCACTGCCACCCACTGAACCGCTGGACTCTTTTAGCGACCAACGGTCCAGTCCCGTCCCTCGAATGTCGGCGCACTGACCACCCGACTCACTAAAAACTGTCAGTCAGTCAGTGAACATTCAGTGAAGGTGCTCGGTGCACCCTTAAAAAAAAAAATCTGTCGCAGCTAACGGCCCTCCCTGCGGCGTATTTTGTAGGGACGCGCTAGGACCCAATCGGGACTAGCGTCTCAAGCTCCATCCAGCGACGGAGCTCAACGCAAAAAACTCCAGCCCCAAGGAAAGATTCCCGTCCGACAATCTCGAGCATCAAACCTCGTCGTCCCAAAAATAATCCCGCGTCCCGTCGCCTCTTCCTTTTCTCCTTCCCTCCCCCCCTCGAGTACCCGTCGAGTCTGCTTCAACCCGTCCAGCAATTGAACGCCAAAGTCAATTGTCCGACGTCTGACGGTTTCCTCCACGAGTCTTTTTGGAGTCGAATACCCCTCGATATCTAAACCCACCTCCGTCCAGTCTCCCTGCTTTCGCGCCCGCGGAAGCTATTTCATCCAAAATGATCTCCACGGTCCTCAGAAGGCGCGTGCTGCCCAACACTCTCGTCCGCAGCACCCAGATCCTGAGATGTTACGCCTCATACCCTCCGCACCAGGTCATCAAGATGCCTGCCCTGTCGCCCACCATGACGGCGGGAAATATCGGAGCCTGGCAGAAGAAGCCCGGTGACAGCATCGCCCCCGGTGATGTCCTCGTCGAGATCGAGACCGACAAGGCCCAGATGGACTTTGAGTTCCAGGAGGAGGGTGTCATTGCCAAGATACTCAAGGACGCTGGCGAGAAGGATGTCGCCGTCGGTAACGTAGGTCCAACCCCAACGGTGCTCCATGTTTGCTGTCCTCCGTCGCCCTCGTCGCCGCCACTTTTGCTGCCACTGTCTCCAAATGTCTGCACACCAAGCTGATCGCATTGTCTTTCCGCACAGCCCATTGCCATTCTCGTCGATGAGGGCACCGACGTTGCCGCTTTCGAGGGCTTCACTGCCGCCGACGCCGGTGGTGACGCCGCTAAGCCCGCGCCCAAGGAGGAGGCCAAGGAGGAATCCAAGTCCGCTCCCACCCCTGCCCCCGAACCCGAGTCCGCCCCCGAGGACAACAGCCCCTCCGGCAAGCTCGAGTCCGCGCTCGACCGCTTCCCCAATGCTTCCTTCGGCGCCATCACCCTCGCCAAGGAGAAGGGCATCAACATCAAGGACGTCAAGGGCTCCGGCAAGGGCGGCAAGATCACAGAGGAGGACGTCAAGAAGGCCGCTTCCTCTCCGGCCGCCGCCGCTGGCCCCGTCGCCTCCTACGAGGACATCCCCATCTCCGGCATGCGCAAGGTTATCGCCTCCCGCCTCCAGGAGTCCACCCAGAACAACCCTCACTTCTACGTCTCCAGCAGCATTTCCGTCAGCAAGCTCCTCAAGCTCCGCCAGGCTCTGAACAGCACCGCCGACGGCAAGTACAAGCTGTCCGTCAACGACTTCCTCATCAAGGCCATTGGCGTCGCTTCCAAGAAGGTTCCCCAGGCCAACTCCAGCTGGCGCGGCGATGTCATCCGCCAGCACAACACCGTTGACGTCTCTGTAGCCGTCTCCACCCCCACCGGCCTCATCACCCCCATCGTCACCGCTGTCGAGGGCCGTGGCCTCGAGGGCATCTCCACCGAGGTCAAGAAGCTCGCCAAGCTCGCCCGCGACGGCAAGCTCAAGCCTGAGCAGTACCAGGGCGGCTCCATCTCCATCTCCAACATGGGCATGAACGACGCCGTCGACAACTTCACCGCCGTCATCAACCCTCCCCAGGCTACCATCCTCGCCATCGGCACCACCAAGAAGGTCGCCGTCCCCGCCATCACCGAGGAGGGCACCGGCATTGAGTGGGACGACCAGATCACCATCACCGGCAGCTTCGACCACAAGGTCGTCGACGGTGCCATCGGCGCCGAGTTCCTCAAGGAGCTCAAGAAGGTCCTCGAGAACCCCCTCGAGCTCCTTCTGTAAATGGATGACGACAAACGAGTTGCGTGATCGTGGCGGAGGCTTGATGAGTTTTGAGGCGTATCCGGCGTGGGAATTATAGACGTTCAGGCCGAGGACAGGATACGACCTGCGGTTTGCGAAAGGGAGGAAGAAGCGGAGGGTGCAGTGAAAGACGGTCGAGAATACCCCTGCATACGTGTCAGGGACCTCGGCAACGGAACGACGACCTACCACAACCTACTTCCCGTGCACAATGATCTCCTGACTAATGCTGCATCTCGGGTGCGGAAGAGGTTTCTGTCTTGTACATTTGGTCTCCTTTTCCTATTTACCTAGAAATCAAGCAGTTACCTTTGAGCTAAAACCCATCGGAATATTTCGCCTTTGTGTCTATGGTGCCAGATTTGTGACGAACCAGGCGTCGAGGGGAATGTGGGCTAACCGCAACCGGCCAGAGATCGGATGAACTTGTCGCGGTGGTAACAGATTTAGCACGTGGGATGCCCAGTCAGGGGAGCAAAACGACACCCTGAAGGAAGATGGGCCGTTTGGATGAGCGTTGCAATATGCAATTGACTTGGTCTTTTGGGACGTCAAACGTCCAGTGCCCGTGCTCTTATGATAGACAACAGCGAAAAAGCTCCTGACTGCTTGATCCTCAGCACCATATTCCTAGATTATCATCGGTGAGTATCAAGTGTAAAAATGTGTGACCCAAAAACCATTTCTATTCTTTGAGAGCACCTATATACTCCAAGTAACTTCGAATCTTATTTTTAAAGCATCTGTGTATACATACAACCACCTCCCCAAAACCTCCACCTTAGACCTTTCCAAGCATTCCCTGAGAAGTAAAAGCCTTCGCAAGCAACACCAACAGAGCGCCGGTCATACACATGACACCGCTGAAAATCGACACCTGCTCAAACCCCCCGTACCGATCCAACAGTGCCCCGTTCACCGGCGGCCCCATCAGCGCCGCAAAAGATGCCAGCCCCGTGCCCATCCCGATATACGTGCCCATATCCCTCACATCCTTCGGGCAAAGCGTCATCGCCACGGCGCCGCCCGATATAATCGCCCCGGAACAAAATCCAAAAACCACAGCAAACCCGATGATCCCGCTCTGCGTCGTCGCCGCGGGCCAGCAGAAGATCATCACCCCCGTCGACGCGCCCGCGAAGAGCAGCGCGTTGAGTTGGCCGACCTTGTCGCCCATGATCCCGGGGATGACGCGCCCGAAGACGGAGGCGCCGTTGATCATCGCGATGAGGTACGACGCCAGCGTCTCCGTCATGCCGTGCAGGATGCCGTACGTCGGCAGGTAGAAGAGCGGCACGAACATGCCGATGAAGAGGAAGAACATGGACGCGACGAGCGTGACGTAGAGTTTGTCCGTGAAGGCCGCTGGGAGTAGGAAGCTGGTGCGGCGCGGGGGCAGGCGCGCTTTCACGGTAGCGGAGGCGAAGAGCAGCGCGGGGACCATGATGAAGCCCGTGATGCGGACGGACCAGCCGAAGCCGAGGGAGGAGTCGTTAAGGAGTTTGGAGAGGACGATGGGGTAGATGATGGCGCCGATGGAGGAGCCCGTCATGGCGAGGCCCATGGCGACGCCGCGGCGTTTGCGGAAGTATTGGGGGGTTGAGGCCATGGCGGAGAACATGAGGATGCCGGAGGCTGTGCCGTGGAGGATACCCTGAGCGAGCATGAATTGCCAGTACTGGGTGCAGAGGGACGTCATCATGATTGCGAAGAGGTAGACCACCGCCGTGGGACGGATGACCTAGCCATCGTCAGTCCTCGTTCTCGCATTCGTGAGGATGAACTTACCCAGGCACCATATCGGTCAAACAGCGGACCTCCGAGTATCGCCGCGAACAAGCCCAGAAACACCTGCGTAGATCCGATCCAGGAGACGGCATCCGCAGACTTGTCGGAGAACTGGTGCAGGGTGTAGTATGCTTGGAAGACGCCAAAGGTGTTGGAGTAGCCTGAGGTGCAGAACAAGATGCAGGCATTCCCTATCGCCACAAGCCATGCCTGCAGACCTCCTTCGGGGAACTCGATATCATCTTGGGATTTGGCTGGGATGGCTTCGGTGGCCACGGGTACCTTTTCAGGGTCTCCCTTGGATAGTGGGATTGAAGTTTGACTTGAGACGCTCATTTTGTTGCCTTTTGTGAAAGCACGGTTTCTTTGTGTGGTGATATTCGAATTGTTGTGTGCTTTACGAACAAGATACATTTTCACCATGAGGAAAGCCTCAATTATATATAAAGCAATTTTCTATTCATTCAGCCTTATAAACTCGATATGCCATTTCAGAAGTCCTGCTAACACAAAGAAAATGCGAACATCTCTAGAAACCCACTAGTCTCCGGCATGCGAATCCTTCTCGGTCGACCGTGTAAGTCGGCATATTGCCCTCGGCATTTTCGAGGACCACCCATCTGACCAATCGGAGGCTTCAAAAGCTCGGTGTATGGCGGGCGCAACACACCACAAACGCAGAAATCCCGACGACATCTCGGGGATAAGCCCTAGCATCACCCATCTTCAACACCCCAAAGCCCGACTTTTCCTCGTCAACGACACGTCGTTATCTGATCATCTGATAAAACTATGCTTCAAGCAATTTTCATGCTCCATTGACTGCGGCCCACACGCCCAGGCAACAGTAATCCTTCTAATCCTGCCCTCTCCCTTCGGGGCTCAAAGACAAAAGGCCGAGCAGCCCACGCCGCCGGCCCCCCCTTCTCTGTTATCCCCCATCTCACATCACCACCAAGCTTTTTTGTCGTCCACCTTCGGAGAGATCTTTACGACTTGGCATCGCGGGATAATGGAGCCCCCTACCCTCCCCATCTCGGCCTCGGCGCAGAAGAAACGTCGCAGACCCGCCCTGGCCTGCGAAGCCTGCCGCCGCCGCAAAGTGCGCTGCGACAGGAACCTGCCCTGCGGCACCTGCGTGCGCTCCAAGAACGCTTTATGCACATACACAACCCAGGCCACGACAAACAACACCAACACTTCAACCCTGGGGCGGAACCACCGGGATGAAAGCCCGAAGCACGGCTTCCCCCAATCCGGCGCCGCAGCCCTGGCCCTCCCCGAGCCCATCTTGTACCAACCCCAACCCCTGCCCACCCCGCGCCACTCGGCCCCGTCGTCGACGCGGGCCGCGGACTCGGACGACCCCTCGCCGATCCATATCCCCGGGCTGACCGCCAGCGCGGGTGAGCACTCTGGCCCCGCGGATTTCGGGCTGTGGCAGCCTGTGATCCAGCCGCGGCCGGCTCCGGTTGCTGCTGTTCCTGGCGGAAGTGTGAGAGACACAGCGTCGACGCCCGGGAGCAATAGTAACCATGGCTCGTCGTCGACTGTGAATTCGCTCGTGGACAGGGTGAAGCAGCTTGAGCAGCAGTTGTCTGATTTGATGGTGAGGGGCGACGAGCGGGATGAGACGGCGGCTGTGGAGAGTACGGTGATGAGGGAGGGGTTGAGGTACAGCCGGGGTTGTGTTAGCAAGACGAGGTTCTTTGGACAGAGCCATTGGATGAATGCGGCTGATATGGTACGTCCTCCAATTTCTCGCTTATCAACTCTTCGCAAGTCTTGTTTCCCACCATGGCATTCCATTTCATTTATTTGTTCCTCTTTGCTCTCTCGACATCTCACACTCATCTCTATTAATCTCTTGTGTGCTATCATTGTCCTTACATCTTGTCTGTCTTTTCATTGTTAATTCTTGTCTGCTGTTCCTTTTCTTTTTATGTACTGTCACATCTGTCACATACAAACTTGTTTTCTTCTTACGTCTGTCATGAGCTGTCCTGATGAGCCAACAGATCTTCAACAACGTTGCAAGTCCTTTCTGCTCATCACAAACCTCGAACTAAAACTAACAACGTCTAGCTCTGCCGACTAGTCACATTCGCCAAGAAGTTTGAAAACGAAAAGACAACCTACCTCTACCAAGGCCTGGAAAAATGCAAAAACCTAGGCCGCATAATCAAAGCCCGCCGCACACCTACCTTTGCCACCATATCCATCGGCAAGAACATGCCCAGCCGCGAGGTGGCAGACGCCCTCATCGACGCTTACCTCCGCACCTTCGAATCCGTCCAGCGCATCATCCACATACCGACCTTCAAGGCGGAGTACGAGCGCTACTGGCAGAACCCATCTGACGTGAACGAGCCCTTCATCGTGCTCATGCAGCTATGCATGGCTATCGGGGCGACCTTCCACGACGAGCGCTTCACATTGAGGAACCTCGCTATCCAGTGGTTCTGGGAGGGCATGTTCTGGCTTATGATGCCGTGCGAAAAGTCCCGCATGACCATGACGGGGCTGCAGATCCGCTGCCTGATGCACTACCTCCGCCACACGGCCAATATCGGCTGCGACCTCTCATGGATCGGGGCCGGCTCGCTCGTTCGCACGGCGATCTATATGGGCCTGCACCGCGACCCTAAGGGGCTCGTCAAGATGACCCCATACCGCGCAGAGATGCGCCGGCGGCTATGGGCGTCGATTCTCGAGATCGCGCTGCAGAGCGCCATCGACGCGGGCGGGCCGCCGCTCATCTCGGCGCGCGACTACGACACCGAGCCGCCCGCGAACCTGGACGACGCGCAGCTCGTCGAGGACATGGACTCGGCGTTCCCGGTGCCCAAGGATGCCAAGACGTTTACGCAGATGACGGTGCCGCTCGCGCTGCACGGGACGCTGCCCGCGCGGTTGGCGGTCACGGCGAGGGTGAACGACTTCAGGTCCGACACCGTGTACGAGGAAACGTTGAGGTACAGCGGCGAGCTGAGTTCCGCGCTCCAGAGGATGATGCAGCAGCTCAAAATCCACCCGGAAATGTCACAATTCGCGATGCGGTACACGCAGTTTATGACCTACCGCCTGTTCTTCGCGCTGCACCAACCGATCATACCCCTCGCGTTACGGAACCCAATATACTACTTCTCCCGCAAGGTGTCCGTCGACACGGCCCTCCGCCTCTGCGAGAACTCGCTCCTGACTCCCGGAAAAGACGGTGCCGGGGCGATGAGACCTGCCGATACTTCCGAGCGGGACTTCCTCTGGCTGACGATCAACGGGGCGGGGGCGTACCGCTCGGTCCCGTTCCAGGCCGTCATGACTGTGGGGCTGGAGCTGATCCACCAGAAAGAGGACGAGATCAAGAACGGGCCGTCAATGTCCTTTGCCGGGCCCGAGTTCCGCGGGATCCTGGACGCGGTGGCCGGGTGGTCGAGGGCGCGGATCAAGTCCGGCGAGACCAACATCAAGGGCCATGCGCTGAGCGTGCTGCTCGTGGCGCATCTGCAGGTGCTCGAGGCCGGGGTCGATGACGAGCGGGTCGAGAAGCACTTTGAGAGGGCATGCGAGGAGAGAGTCACGGAGTGCTATGACTTGCTAAAGGAGTTGGTCGGGGATGATGTTCCTGAAGAAGGGGTGGGGATCGGGGCGCCTGACATACACGATTTGGATATGGACTTCGAGGTCGGGACTGACATGTTGGGAGAGTGGGATTGGGATAGCATGGTAAGTTAACATCCCACACTAGGTATGGGCTTGGCTGACAATGGCAGGATAATGGTGGCTTCATCTCGACCTTGAACTTTGGGAACATTGACATGATGTTTCCCTAAGCTGGCTTGACTAGCTCGTATTCCAGGGGACATCGAGGCGGACGCTTGAGATGAACCGCTCCATGCGTTCCACGGAGGGATTAGTGTTCCCGAATCGGGGATCAAGGGGCAAAGGGGGCAAAGGTCTAGAACAGGAGCTTGGGGTGGTTCTTTGTTTGGAAACCTCGGAGAAAGGTCTTGGGACCTCATGTAATGTTGTATGCGATACCCAGCTCTGTATCTGATGTTTTTCGTATAAGGGCTTGTTTCAGCGCGTCTGCCCAATATGTGCCCTATCAGCACCAATGCCTCATTCGCCGGACGTTCGCCGTTTGGGCGGATATCGGCGGATGTGACCTGCTGATGGTGTCTCCAGAAATTGGCAAATTGCTCTAAAAATGAAAGTTAGTAATAGACTACAAGATAAGCCATGGGTATCCCGTTGTCGGTTTTATTTGGGGTCAGAGCATTTTAAGAAAGAAGGGTTCAGGCATGAATGGATGAGATACCACATAGTAGGGCACGCATGGGTCATGACATTGCATCCTCTGCAAATGAGAGAGTCCACAGGTCATCTGACCAGCACGCGCAAAAGGTCCCATACCCCGTGGGGGAGTTGCGGTGGGGCTGTTGCTGCGTGGTATTTCCAGCCGCTCTGCCATCGGCCTTATCTTTCGTCCGGGAAGCCCATGCCAAGGTGTGCACATGGCTGTAATGAGTCGGATGAGAACCGTCGGATAATATCATCGGGTGAATTACTGACGTATCAGGGCGCTGTGTCGTATCAAAGCACGTCCATAAGTACGATTCAGTTTGTGTTAATTGTTCATTTAGAATAATTACTCGCAAGTGTGGTTGACATATTCAACATACAACACGAAGCAGGGCTATGCCTCCGGGCCGCCCGATTAGGGTGGGGAACACGGGGATGTGACAACACCGGGGATCCCGACGTTGGTTCGCCGGATGGCGCCGTTGGCGCCGTTGGCGGCGCTTGGAGGTGCTCAACCTGACGCAAGCAATACGCCAAGGCACGTGAAGTGCTCGGAACTTATCCGTTCTCACGTTTCTTGGCGACTTTGCCGGCGGAGCGTGCATCGTTATGGCACCGCGGGAGCTTACTGCGTATCCATCACAACGGGGTTGATGATACCGTAGATTGGCTTTTCCGAGGGTTCCTGCCGACGGTTTCGTTTCGTGCAGGTATTCATAGATCTTAGTCATAGCGAGCTTTCAGCTGGTTCCAGAGTCCAGACTAGCAAGGTGAATCGTAATGCGATGTGAGGTCTAGACCATGTGCTCAATCATGAGGCAATTGCGGGGAACAATTCATCAAGCCAAAACGCCAGCTCACTGACGATCGGATAATCAACTCAGAGAACACGATCGGATCATCACTGCAAGACAGATGTGTGGATAAAAAAAAGGTTGTATTGAGACCGTGTGATATCATTATGAGAGTGTTGAGGGTATCTGAAATGGCTCAGACGCATATTGGTATCAAAACTGTGAAAGATTCGCAGAGAAAGGCTGAGAAAGCACAGCAAACCGAACCGCTCGCTCTCAACTCCCTTAGTCGGGGCACTGCGACTTCAGGTCGCCATCCGAACCCGGGCACTGCCCTGAGGCGATGGCCGCTTTACATGAATCCTCAAACTCGTTTCCGCCAAATCCAGTGACAAATTGCATGCGGCCTCCATCTTTCGGTGCTATCGTCGCGCAAATCTAGAGAGTGAGGGTTAGCAGCCGCGTCGAGTCAGTCTTTTTCCGGCGGTGAGCAACTTACTGTCCACATCATCTTGACTTGTACTGATTCCGGGCTGTCTTTCTCAAAGATCTTTTCGTTTGCTTTGTAGTGTTCGCATGCCTTTTGTGTCAGGCAGTTGTTGGGAACGTTGTTGATTTTGCAATAGCAGTTGCGGTGCTCATTGGCAAGAACTCTGTGTGACTTGTTAGGACTGTCGATCGGTGTTTTGGGTGTCAAGGAGTTTGAAACACATACCCTGAGATCATGAGCAATGCCAATGTGATGAACTTCCATAGTGAGTTGGTAAACATTGTGATGGTGTTTTGTCTGAAGGTTGCGCTGATCATGGATGGTCGGAACCTAGATGGGACGACGACGGGAGCGTTTGCTATATACCTCGACGACTTGGGAAGCAGCCCACGAGGACAAGAGGACGTGCGTGTGACCACTATTCGCGCTGATAAGCGTGGCGGAGTTTAATTACTACGGCGCTTGCCACGGATAGCCTGACTATGATTACTGTTTATCGTATTATAGTCTTCAAGGATGTCCTGTCGAGTGGCAAAGGCCCCTGTCTCGAGTTGAAAAGGGTGGTGCCTTGTTATTGCGGGGCACGACGTATTTGACATTGCGGCACGTGTGGTTATGGCAATAAGGTAGAGTTAAAAAAGGTTCTTGGAAGTCGGGGGGGACCTGACTCAATTGCGCGATCGGATGCGCGGACCAAGGGTCTCGACTCAGCATGGAGGGGGAGCGGGTAGACGAACACGCAAGCCTCACTTTAGGATGACAGGAGCCTATCTGATATCTGATATTCGTATTTCCAGATGTTTAGAGCGAACTTTCCACCACGGATTGCACGGCATCTGGTGATGAAGGGGTAATTGCAGTGTGGTTCGGTGGTTCTTGGATGTCAAAAAAAGAACTGCATTCCAAGTTTGACGCGCGCCAAGCGCGATGGTCATTCACGGATTAATTGGATTTCCAAAGTCTACTGTGCTGCAATCGCCACCAAGAGACTCAAGCCCAAGTTCTACAACCCACCGAAATGCAATTTTGAAGTTCACGGAGATGTGACTCCCGAATTCACCAAGATTTTATTTGCAAGTCCACAAGGACCGTCTTGTATGTACATGTAACAACTGTGAGGGTATGCGCTTCGTAAACGACAACTAAACAAGCTACGGTTGACCTTCAGTCAAGTTGGTCATTCACGAGTATCGAGATGGATTCATCTCATTTTGTCTTAAGCAGAATTCGCCTGAGTACAGGCTTCCATCCTCTGCGCGTTAAACTCATGACCCTCCCACATGTACGCTCCCCAACCCTCCCAACCAGAGATAACCTTTTCGTTCGGCAGAAGGTCGCAGCTGCCTGGTTGAATGCCGATGCGGAACTTAAATGGCTGAGGGTCACTGCCGAAGGTGACGTTGACTAGTCCGTTGGTGTTGCCGCTGTCGTCTTTGTAGGTTACGCTGGTGCATTTGGTTCCGGGTTGCAAGTTGCCCTCAATTCCGCATCGGACAACTCCTGCGGCTTCGTCCCATTTGAGCCACAACCAGTTTGTGTCGGCCCAGTGGTCACCCCAGCAGCAGTCAGCTGCCGCAAGTGCGACCAATGAGGAAGTGATGAAAATTTGAATGAGTGAAATGATATGCATCGTGAGGTGGCGCTGGAAATGTTTGGCCGTAAAGACTGTGGTGATGGTGGTGGTGGTGTGTTTGTTTGAGAGGTCGGAGATCAGCAATTCTCTGTAAGTGAATGTGGATGGTATCGCAACAATTGTTGAGGGGAGGGGCCCGGCAGATAAGGGCTGGAAGAATCGCCGACTGAGACTCCAAGTGAGAGGCAACCTTAATCCATCTTTGACAAACATCCGCAGATAGCCCAAGTGACAGCCCTATATGAATTCTATATTAGTTGTCCAAGGGAATCGTAGTCATGACCTGGTCCATAGTTAATCTATCAGATACATGCCATTATCATCTGATTTCGACTTATTAGCATTGGAGCGCGCCCTGCATGAAATTGTGTGCCTGGAAACAGGGTTGGATGCTGTAATAGAGTTTCTCCAGACATGGTTGCGTAGGGATCGCCGTTCATGAATCGAGCGCGCACCAGGCACAGCCTCGACTTCAGACGGATTTAGGAACCACCCGCGGAGCAGTGTGTCAGAGCCGGCCTTAGCAACTCAACTATAGACCCTCTCTGTCCCATCCAGCACTTCTGTCAAATACCCCAACATCGCGGATCTCCATTCCTTCTTATCTTTGCTCCACGCGAATGTCACGCCTATTCAGTCTTTATCGAGTGTCGACATCATGATTTTCTTCAACATCGTTGCGCTGCTTGCGCTAGGCGCAATTGCTTCACCCATGCCATTTGCACAGGAGATCGAGGTGCTGGAACCCCGACAGGATGCGGGCACGCAGAATGTTACCGTTGATCAGTGCTCTTTCTTTTCCGCAGACGGCATTCTGCCCGAATGCTGGCAGGTTCTCGAAATGAACAACCACCTCAACGTACGCCGAGCAGCAACTATTTAACTTTTGGGACTGTGTTAACCGCTTATCAGTACTGGTGGTCCAACCATTCGGCGAAGTGCGAAGCTCAGAACAAGGGCTTTGCGCAATGCTATTTGGATAACGCTGTACGGACAGCCCTATCTATGACCCTGCCAACGTTGCATGTTGTTATCTCGATCTGACTTGAATCGCAGGGCTTGATTACATGGCAATGCGATTTTGTGGCCCTCAACGCATGCACCCCGCCTCCCAGCGGCAAGGATGCAGGCTACGCCTCTTACCATGACTTCTACGTGAGCAATTCACATTATCGAGGCCGTCTTTACCACTGCTAACATCAGTTATCTAGGTTATCTGGAACATTTATGGTTAGTCATTTCACTATTGATGAAATATGTTTCCAGGCCAAGCCCACTAACAGGGCGCACCAGCTATCAACCTGTTCTTCACCAATTACCACCAGTCTCTCTTGCAAGGACAGGCTGCCGCTATGTAAGTTTCCTCGCAGAGCCTCAGATACTTTCTGTCCTCAGTAACTTACTGAATCAGCGGATCGGTCGCCGAAATTGTGAAGACCGTTGCGCCGCCAACAACGAAGCATCCTAAGACGCCACTCTTTGCTCCGATCTATGCTGTCAGTATCGGACAATTCGCCGTAAGTGCCAATCAGACGATCAACCACAGTCACACAGTCACTAACCTTATGAACATGGCAGGCTTTGGCCCCTCTTCTTGGAAGTTCTGTGGGCGCCAGTATGATCTTTGCTTCCCTCCTCGGTGTCCTCGGTGGTGGAGCTGGTTTGTTCAACGTTTTGTTTCCAACAAAGCAGCAGTACGACGTCCCTTGGGAAGGTCTCTCAGACTCCCTTGGAGTTCATGTCAATGACTACCAGAAGCAAGTCGGAGAAGCCTTGACGAAGATCCAAACGGACTTCACCACGTTTTACGCTCTCGTCAACAACGGTGGTTTCAGCCAGGTAAGGCTCCATAGCGATACTGTTAGTTCTGAAGCCGCCTGCTGACGATTTACCTTTAGCGACTCAACACCAATGTTCCTGAGAACACCGATTTCATGTACCACAGCCTGAAGAAGTGGGTATTTAACCAGGCGCTGCAACAAGCAGGCTACTTTGCTGTTAAGAAGTACGTTACAAATGATGATCTGGATCGACTCTTGTCAAACTAACTTTGCTGCAGCCCTGCCGTCGATCCTACACAGATTCCCATCGGCCCATACGACTGTTCCAAATTGGGCGACAAGGGCACTTGCGGTCCTCTTTGGCACGACGGGAAAGACACATACGGTCTGGCCAAGGCAAACGGTACGTTGCAACCCCTCAGCATGCATATAAATGCGATTTGACTAACTTTGCAATAAGACATTGGCATGGACCGCATGCAAGAGATTCTTGATACCGCATTTTCCAAGAACTGGACGACCCCGGCTGAGCTCTACATCGACGCCCAGTCTTGCCGTGGCAAGAATGGCTCCGAGTCATTCGATGTACAGGACATGACGCTGAGCTGTGTGGTGAGTAGCCTATAATCTTCATAAGTTATTGTAAACAAACGAGCTAATTACAATATCAGTCCAATATTCCCGTCTGCGAGTTCAACTTTGACTACAACCCCTACGAGACCCTCTGGGCCCGCGTCAACCCGCCAATGTTCACCAACTGCCCTAACATGAGAGGCTATGGAGTTCCTCCCTACTACAGCGATGACGTCGGAATCCCGCTGACATATGTCGGCCCCTTTTTGGTGAGTAAACTTCAGGAGCATTGCGTGCTGATACTGAACACTGCTGACGTAACAATATTAGATGGCTAAGGTGGTTTACAACGAGAAGAGCGGTTGATTTTGATCTTCGCATTTTCACAGGCGTTCAGGCATCATTTAAGGTAGAGGGCCAGCTGTCTTATCGACAGTCTTGGATCATTGGATCATGCTAGTGCCACTGCACAGGGCCACAAGTGGACATCAATCGGTTGTACAGGGCCAGGGCCTTAGATACCAGCAACCTATTAATTCCGATACCCTTCTTGCAAATTCCAGAGATAACAAACGACTGGTTGAATCCTTTTCTCTCCAAGTGTGACCAATGTGAACCCCACAAAAGGCTTCTAGGTTTCAACATTCTTCAGGCGGACGTAACACTGCGTGGGTTCCCTCGCAAATCTCTGTATGCCCTCATACCCATTCAACTCAGACGGCAGCGGCAAGAGTTGAAAGTGCCATACGATGAGTGCAAATTCAATCTTCAGCGTTTGCAAGCCCAGCCTTTTGCCAAAGCATCCGCGCGAGCCCAATCCAAACGCTAGCGTTGGCCCAGCCATAGGATCGAACACCCCATCGCTCTCGTCCTTTGTATTCTTATCATGTTTGAGCCATCTCTCCGGCGTAAAAGCAGCGATGTCGTCGTCAGCCCATGCGCCGGTCAGAGCCTTGTTTTGGTCGCGGCGTGCACCAGGGCTGCGAGACTTGTCGTCGACAGGCATATTAGGTTCAAGATATCCAGGACCATTGGCCATGAGGAAGACGTTTGTACCCTTAGGGATATGTCGGCCCAGCACTGTAGTATCCTGCAAAGCCTCGCGAACGACAAAAGCAATTGGTCCGGAATGACGCAAGACCTCCTCAACCATGGCATCGAGGTACGGTACCTGAGCCTTGATGAGCTCCTGGTACGTAGGGGTCCTTTTGTCGTTGACAGCTTCAGGAAGCGCGGCACGCAGAGCGCTCCGCAGACGATCTTGACTTGCTGGATTGTCAGCCAAATACTTGACCCCCCAGGCCATGGCAGTGGCGGATGTATCATGGCCGGCCATCATGAAACCAAAGAATTCGTCGAAGATGGAACGTTTGTAGTAGTCCGGCTTGCGATCCTCTTTGGCAGCAACTTCTCTCTCCCGCAAGAGTACTGAGTGAAGTGCGCTCCAGGGCTCCGTTTTGCCGCCCTCAATGAGATGCACCGACTCGGTGATCTTATCACGAATGTAGCCATCCTTGACAGCTGTTGGCCCTTTTCATGTAGGAGAACTTTCGAAGCACCCAGGATGTGATAACTGGTGCCGGTGACAGCTGCGTGTCGGTAACCGAGTTCGTCAAAGTGAGAACGGCAGCGAAAAGCTCGGGTATAGTGCCTTCTGCAAACACAACCTCTTCATCCGCACCACCGAGAATCTCTGGAGCTGACTGTTCCACTGCATTCAGTTGCTGAACAGTAATACTCTGCGACTCCGGAAGTCCGAATGAGGACGCGAAGATGGAATCCAGTGCCGCATGAGTGATGTCATGGTGTGCCGAGAACGGTCGTCCCTTGGCCTGCTCACACTTGACTTGCCACACCTTGATCAAAGTGCTGATTGATTTATAAACCTCTGGGGCGCTGACCTGAGTGATGAAAGTGGGCGCCATTAAGTGATTGATCAAGTTGCGGGGCCTCTTGAATTTTGGATCTGCAGACCGGAACTGGATATGCTGTTCCGGCAATATCCCTCCGATGAGCTCGCCGAAGAAGCCACTTCGGTCAAACTCCTTGCGGCGAAGAAGGATGTCTTGACTCTCGAAGGGGTCAGTGAGGACCACCCAAGGAAGGGACCCAGGCTTGATAAATGCTTGGATAATTGGGCTTTTGTGACGTGTGGTCAGGGACGTGAGCCAGCAGAAAATGCGTTTGGTTCGCAAGACGTATCCCATCATCTCGGGAATGTCCCCGAAAACATGGCTCGCTGCTTTCTCATTGTACGGTATTCCAGCTAGAGGCTTGGGTAGAAGGACGCGGCGGACGACGATGAATCCGACGAGAATAGCAAGAGTTGTAAACATCCACACGTTTAGGAACCAAGAGCCCCAGTGTATCTCAATGTCATCCATGATTTTGCAATTGGAGAGGGAAAATCAGAGAAAGAGTGAGGAATCATGGAAATCTCAAACCTTCATGTATTCAGCCTAACGGACTTGGGACTTTTGTAGGAAAACACGGAGATGCATTAACGGACTTTGAAGTAATCAGCTGCCGATGATTCGTGGACAACACCCGGCTTACATGCAAGTAAGACGACATCCCTGTCTGATGAGCTATCGTATTCAGACCACTCCGTCGCAACCTGAACTGTCTTCCTGGAGTACACGTAATTGCCAAGTTTGAATTCGCGTGCGACGCTACTCGTGTGCGACACTGCCACTCAATTATCATCATATCAATTCGACAAGCACACAAAGTATCGAGCTCATATGTATTTTCTTAAATTCAAATCCATTTAACTCTCATAGTATACATAAGGTAAGGAAAGTAAATCAATTAGGAAAGACGCGGAATTTTCTTTCGATCTATGATGCGCCCGCTTTCTCGTTCGTGATCATGCCATGCCCGTCGCCCAAGACCCAATTCCCTCATTTACCCATGCATCCAGACCCTGAAGAAGCACAAATTTGCAAGCCCCTAGCCAATGCTAATTCATGAAATGCGGTAGATTCCAATGCGATGCTTAGGCTGCAATGCGCTTACGCAAGCCAGAGTCAGTCTGCTGGAAAGGAGCATTGGCCGAGTAATCACCCCATGAGTCGCAGGTCTGGTCGATGTCGCTAATCTTCATGGTGCTGGCGATATCGTTTGAGCGCTCGAGGAACTGAACACTCAGACCCTGGCTGACGTGCCACGCAATGTGGCAGTGGAAGAGCCAGGCTCCCGGGTTGTCTGACTTGAAGGCAACGACGAGCCAGCCACGACCAGGCAACTGTGTAACGTCGCGACGGGTCGGGTTCTTGAAGTTGAGCTTGGACGTGTCTGACTGCGCGTTGAAGCGGACACCGTCACCACGGCCACTGGAGGCAGGTTCAGAGTGACCAAGGATGTAGAAGTCATGGCCGTGAAGGTGCATTGGGTGAGGAGCAGGGAAAAGATTCTCGATAACCCAGTAGGTCCACTGCGAAGTATTAGTCTCACGACGAATTCGTTGTATAGAGGTTGCTCACCTTGTTCTCGTCAGGAACCTTGAAAAGGTTGTAAGCCGCAGGATAGTCGGTCTTGTTCTGGGCGATATACTGCAACGTTGGGGTATCCCAGTTGATGTCCATGTTCTGGCCATTGACCTTCCAGTAGACCTGCTGACTGCTGGTGGTTCTGCTGGTATCAACAGTAACGTCAAGCGTGTCATCATCAGTCTTCTGGAAGCCGTTTTGGTCTACGTCGACACTGTACATGGGCTCGAAGTCCGTCTTGTCCTGGCACTGAGCATCCGTAATAGCCTTGCCGGCGTCGCGGGGCAACGCCTTAGTGCTGGCACCTTCGTACTGGAAGATCGAGGCAGGCTTGTTCATGTTTGAAGTGCCGCAGAGCCTGTTGGAAGGGAAAGAAACGTTGAACCAGTAGGCTCCGGGGTCCTGATCAGCCTTGATGATGACCTCATAGCGCTGTCCGACACTCAAGTACAGCGAGTCTGTCTCAAATGGCTTCACAGGTACAAGATCATTGTTGACGACCGTCATCTTGTGGTCCACAAGTTGAACGGAGAAAGTGTTGTCGACCGACATGTTGATAAGGCTGATCTTGTGAGTCTTTCCCGGCTTGAGTGTGACCCGAGAGTAGTTGCCGCCACCGTTCTTGTTGACATTCGTTCCGTTGAAGAGGATGTTGTCACTAGCAGGGACAGCCGCAGGCGCGGTGAAACTAGCTCGGATCTCATCGGCTCCCTTGTAGTACCAATCTGTGAGGGTGTAGACGCCCAAGTCCTCATCCCAGTTCGCCGACGTAGGTCCGTTAATCTTAATGGCACCGACGATGCCGTTGGCGTACTGGTCAGAGAAATGAGAGTGGTACCATGAAGATCCGTACTGCTCTGCCTTCCATTTGTATGTCTTGCTTGAGCCGGGCGCGAGGGGGCATTCCGTAATGCCGTTCACACCGTCATTAACGTTGTTGTTGAACATACGAAGACCGTGCCAATGGATTGAAGTACTGCACGGCGTTAGTATTGTCACATCGACATTAAAATCTGATTTCTGCGTACCCGTTTGTCCTCAGGTTGTTGACAACCCGCACTTCAACATGATCTCCCCAGTCGGCCTCGATCGTCGGGCCAGGGAAGGCACCTACAAACATTTAGCAAAAAACTTTCATCACATCAAACGGCTTTAGGACTCACCGTTGATAAGCATCGCGGAATTCTTGCTCATTCCATCTCCACCCGTGAAAGTCGTGTGCTCGGTGAGCACCAATTCATACTGAAGATTCTGATTAGCACACTAATCGCTAGCTTATTAGAGCATTGATCGGCTTACTTGGCGAGTAATTCCAGTATCTGGAGTCTTGTCCTCATAGGCGGTGTTGATGTCAAACCCATCCATCCAGCAGCCTCTGCTGTCGGGAGCATTGCAAGACTTATTGACCGGCTCCGGTGTGTTAGAGGCTGCGGGAGCGCTAGGTGCCGGAGCATTCGGGGCGCCCGATGGTACAGAGGGCGAAGATTGTCTCTTTGAGACACCATTGCCGGAGGACGACTTGGGTGCTGCCGCCGCTAGGCCGTACAGAAGGAACACGACGCCCTTCGAGAGCGTGGACCTCATATTGATGGCGTATTAAGCAACAGTGATTTAAGGATGTGAAGTCGACGTCTGGTCGTGACGCTGTATCTTGAAAGTGTGAATTGACTTCGCCTACGTTCTCATGAAGAAGATAGAGAGGTGAAGTTTGCTTACCCTAAGCTGCTCAAACGTCTGATCCGATTACAGACCGATCAATCTTCGATGAACGAAAGAAGAAGAAAGAGGGAGGCAAGCCACGGAGAGATCTTCCAGAATCCTCAACTTCAACGGTCGATCCAACCTGTAGATAAGGTCAGAAGCTGGTCCTTGGCGGTGGCCAACACGCGATTAACCTCGAAAGCACGGTCTTGTCGTTCGGGAATGACCCGCGGTCTAGCCTTGTTTTGTCGTCCTTTGCGAAGAACCGGTGGATTTTGCGCCGCTCAGAGGAGCCCTGTTTACACCCCACGTACCAGCAGGAGATCTTTATACCAAGAGCCCGGATATCTTGTTTCAACATTCGGATCGGCAGTGATATCAGATGGTGTTCCAGCCAGTCTGATGGCGAGGATTGAGCGGTGCAGTTGCGGTTGGTGCCTTGTCAAGTCGGTCCCGAGCCATGATCGCCGCCTTGGTAAACGGTTCGACGTGCCAGTGTCAGATGTCTTTTCTGCCTGGCTGTGTGTAGCGCGCAGGTCCGACTGAGCGGCAAGTATGCGCCTGTCCTTGTCGGGTAGTGTCATGGACCCGACAAATTGAGCATGCAAGGCAGAGCAGGTTCAGACCAGCCTGCAGGCCGCAAGGTAATCTGGGCATGAAGCCGTATGCGACAAGAACAGAGGGACGCCACCATGCAACCCTCGGGCGGCTTTCGGGTTGGTAAGGGTTCCGCGGTGATGATGGCTATATCGGCACACAGTGGCTCATCTCACAGAAGGAGCATCCGTTGCATGATGAATCATGAATATGTACGGTGCTGAACCCCTTCATGAACGCCGTTAAGCGCGCTCTCTTAAGCGCCCGAGGAGATGTTGTTGATTCTCTGCCCGAGATGCATGGGTATGCTGGCATGTCAATCCTTCTTGCCCCAGAATCTCTAATCCGCCAAATCCTGAGGACCTAATTTCATTGTGGCAATAGCCTACACCTGTCAAAGGATCCCATACCTCAACTCCAAACAACGGCGTCGATTCGCTCAGGACAGCGACCGTGTTCGGCCGTGTCTTGGCTCTGTGTAAGCAAAGCGTATCTTGCGTTTGGCAGCTGAAGGTCTGAGCAGTGTGGCTTATACGTGTCAAAAGTTGAAGTAGCTCCATCGCCTCCTTCAAAAACAAAATACGCTCGGCCCGGGCAAGCGGCAACTTGCACTTATTCCCCGCCGCTAGGTCCTCTGGCCCGTCTTACCCCCACGGACTCTTCACTTAGGCACTGTGCCTATTGCTTGTCTTGTTCCTTGTCGGCGCATGTGGCGGTTGGCGAGTTCAAGTCTAAAACATCCGTGCGGCTGTATGAGAGGAGGTAGGCTGAGGGGGAAGAAGAGAGTTTGGAGGATTTCACATTCTGCCCGAGGATCGAATCAAAACGGCGTTCTTGGATGCACGAATGAAGCAAGCGAGCTTTTCGTGTTTCTTGCCACCTTTCTAAACAGTCATCTCAGAAACGTGCGGGTGTCAAGTTTGACGTGGCCCATTATACTGGTAACGAAGACGTTGCAAGACGTCTGGTACCCGAATATTTCCGCCACTGGGTGCCGATGGCGGAAGTGAGTGATCTCTTCCCCGAATCTGCCAAGATACGCGCGGCTACAGCGACAGAGACCGTTCAGCGCGAGCGAAGGGGGACAGATTCGCCTGAAGTCGCAGGCGTTGAGGCCAGGACAGCTCGACTCAGCCGACTCTCAGTCCGCGAATGACAAAGATCGGCGAGCGGCTCTCTCTGACCCCGACCCCGGCGGATCGGGTCCTTTGAAGAAGGAATCATGATAGGGCTGCTCAATGCGATGTTTTCTTGGCATTATCAGATGAGCTAGGCCGGGAGAGTCCTGTGATCCTTCAGCAATTTCTGATAATAGATTTCTTCAGCCGCATTCCAAGGGACACCCCCATCTCAACTAGACAATCACATCAAAACGACTGATGTGAGATGCTTGAAGAGACGATAGAAATAAAGGAACCCCAGATTTCCAGATTCAAACTGCCGCGGTTAGCACAAGCAGTGGTCGTTTTCTACCACTGACATATCAGGTATTGACAGAATGATACTGTTGACACCACACAGTCTCTACGCACGCATTAAACAAATGCGCCGAACGCCAAACCTGAGCAAGCGCTGCGTCACAGACGTCTTCTCTACGCGCAAACCTCAATTGGCGATTCTGGGCCCAGTCACGCTTTCTACAGCAAAAGAAATTAGGTACTCAGGAAAGCATGATCTGCGCCATCAAAAACGAGTCAGGCAGTCTTGTGCGCCCCATTCAATAGCTTAAAATGAAAATTGTTCGTTCGCATCATATTTGTTCAAGCACATTGAAACGGGATCGTTGAATCGCATTACGATGGTCAGATTCTGCTCGATCCATAGCGCAGGTCGAGCAAAGGGCCAATTCCGTGAACAGAAGCTTTACAAAACGTGGTTCTGGCGTCTGGAGAGAGAGCTTGTGGGCTCATCCTTGTGTGCTTGACACGTTGGGTTTGGGCCATGTGTTCATCATCAGATGAGGAACTGGACCAGGTAAAAGTCCGAACTTCGAACAAGGTGCAGACAAACATCAATATCCATCTATGCCGGACAGAAATCCAAGGAAATCCAAGGAACGAGAAACCTTCACCAAAATAGAACTTCTTTTCGCTTGGCATACGATCAGCTAATTCAATAAATTAACAAATCCCCAAAAGCTCGAAGTACAACGCAATCTTCTACAGAACATGCCGGCCGACTACTCCGCTCTGCCGAATTCCACAGACGCTGCCGAATCCAAAGAGAATGAAGCCGAACCAGAACCTCCGAACGCGCAGAGAGCCGCTCACAGAAGGCTCTCCTTCTATACTCAGTTATTACTCCTCAACATCCTGGTCGCTGCTCTGGGTGTTCTCTCTACCGCGGTTTATGTGAGAGATCAGAAATTCAGTCCCCGTCCACCACACCCATTGGAATGTAGCTGCGGGTCTTCCCTCGCCGAAGCGAAGAAATTGGACTGCAAATACGACAGCTTGTCGGTGTCTTGGCTGCCGCCACACTGCCGTGACGACGAGCTTACCGCTGAGTTCGAGCGCGCTGGCCCTGGGCCCAACGGGTCTTGGCCGTACTACAAAGATAATGCCGCCAACGTATCTACAAACATTGGCGAAATCTCTCTTTTAGTGGACTTGCCTCCCGACCAGGCATACTTCTACACCACAAATGGTTGGCATGTCGCACATTGTGCTTTCTACTGGAGGAAACAGTATAGACTGAGAGATAAAGGCTTCATGACAGAGAAGCGGTATGATAAGGAAAGCCACATTGAGCATTGCTACGATGTATTCAAGTCTGAAGATCCAAAGCAGGCAGTGAAGGTTGCGGCGCCGGTGTGGCTGGGTGGGGACGGGTCTGACGGCCATGATGTTTGAAATTTTGTGAAGCGCAAAGCGATTAGAAGAGATCTGAATATCTCGGGTTGTGTAATAGTTAATCGTACACTATCTTAGTCAAAAAAATTGTTATCAGGACGGTTTGCCTGGGTTCGCGACCGGGGTCTCACTAGGAGCGCTGCCAACGGCTTCACTTTGCAATTTCTCGCGCTCGTCAGCGGTCAGATCTCCCTTGGCTTTGTCAATCCTTATCCCCACCACAATGATTAGTATGGCCGCTCCTGCACATGCAGCACCCATGATGAAAGCAATCTTGTATCCTTCCTTGAGGTTATTTGGTGATGCCTGCGCTGCGGCCAAATCGGCCCAACCAAGGAAGAAGCTGATACCCAAGAAAAGAAGGCCGTTGACGCATGCACCGGCGATGCCTTGTTGATCGCTGCGGACACTAGTGGTAATGAAAATGTTGCTGACATTGTACATAATATCAATGCCGATCGTCGCGCAGATCATGGCGGGAAACACCCACGCCCAGTAGTTGGGGGATTCAGGTATCAAGATGAAAAGAAGGCTTGACACCAACATCCCCGTGACTGAAAGAAGCAGCAGGATGGTTCCTGAAAGTTTGTGCAACACCGCCCCGCCAACGATGGCGATAATGACACCCCCAATCGCAAGAGGTGCAAACCAGGCGGCAGCCAACAGTGGAGGAATGTGGAGGATGGTCTCGATGCTGATTGAAGCGGTTAGTTTGTGACTCTCGATGATAGCGGAGTGATTAAGTACTTACTAGAAACTGGCATAGAGAAGATAGATTCCAAACGACCCAAAAGCAGCAAAGAGACAACAGAATAACGCGATTGTGTACTTGGGGGCAAACAGCTTGGGAGGAAGAAGCGGCGCTGTTGAAACCCAACCTTGTACGTAAACAAAGGCTCCGAGAAACATCGTCCCGGCAATGAACGTCACCAGGATCTGCGGTGACGCCCAGCCCTTTGGTACGTGAGGGCTATCGGTGATGGCATAAACCAACAGCATCAAACCCGGAATCGACGTGGCGCATCCCCACCAATCCATAGGCATGCGCGCCTGGTGAATCTGTCTGGGGACACAGAAGAAGGTGAGGATACATACAAAGGTCAGAAGTATGCAGCCGATCCAGAAGAACCAGCTCCAGCTCAAGAATTGGCCCGATACGCCGGCGATAAAAATCCCCGAGAAGAAGCCAAAAGGCGCGCAGGCCCCGTAAAGGCTAAAGACAATGTTCTTCCGGCGGCCAGGTCGGTAAACGCTGCCCAGAAGAGAGATACCCGAAGGCAGGAAGGCAGCTGCGCCGAGGCCTTGAAGCGCGCGGCAGACAACCAGCATGATGTAACTGCGGCTGAAGCCTCCAATGAGAGACCACGCGGCCATCCATGCATTACCGGCAAGGAACATGGGGAAGCCCCCATACATGTCTGTGAGTCGTCCAAAGGGCAGAAGAAACCCTCCGGCAACTAGAGAGAAGACACTGGACGGCCAAGTCTTATCATTTGTAGAGAAGTGGAGGTCGGATATGAGATTGGGTAGAAGGACGTTGAAGCCGCTAATGAGGAACTCCTGTAGATGAATGTTTAGCTCTCCGCAGAGGAGTACGTGGAACTTAGATTGAAAGGTTGACGTACTGCCATTATATTGGACAGCAGCACTGACGCGCAGAATCCAACTTCTTGAAAGGTGTTACTGAAGACCTCAGGCCGCTGACGCCCTAATCGCTCTTGTTCTTTTTCATCGAGGGTTGTGTGGTTGTCCGGGGATGAGTTGCGCCCCTGCTCGGCTTGAACTACTGAATTACCCATATTGACTCAGGAGGACCAGAAGACGGCAAAGGGAATGGGAGGAAAGTGACTGTGTACTCGCTTTACCCTTGGACAAGGAGGCGCGCAGACAGGCGTATAAGAACGTTTGGAAACAACATGTTCCCGATTCCAGGCGAAAGTTTCCAGGCAAACTCAGGCAAATTGAGGTTGAATAGAAACATGAAACTGATTCAAGCTCATAAGAACCCACCAGGGAGGTGTCATCAGTAATGAAGACGTTCGCAATCAAGCATTTTGATTTCATAATACTTACCAGGGTAGAGCTTCTGGACAGGATGCACTAAACCGAAATAGGCGAAACGGCTGCGAGCTTGAAACGAGACGAATGGACTGTTGGTCCAGGCTGATCTGATCTCCGGCAGCGCGTTCCCAATTCGGGCAAAAGTTTGGCGGGTCAGAGACGGTGCCGATGGCAACCCGGAGACCGCGGGACACGGAAGATCCCACCGGGCGACCCCGTGAAATATGTCGGGAGCATGGAGCACATCGTGTCAGGGAAAAACATGCCAGCTAATTGGCTTTAAGGTAGCGGCTATGTCAACCATATTTCTTATTATAACCTCCCCAGCACGTCTTCCGCTGGTTCTCCAGTTCTCCAGACTGCTACGGCGATCAAAACACCATGTCAACGCCGGTCCGGCACTTGGGTGATATTCCAGTTGTCTCATGTCCTTGCCAGAGCCATGGAAAGGCGCGACTGTCCACGTCAGTGCGATGAACTCTGTCAATGCCATCGCCTCATAACATCATTGCAACCTTCGACTGGGAAGATGTTTTTCTCCCCTCTCCAGCGTGCTGGCACGCCTTGCTGTTCTTCATTCGACATATTCCTTTCGTTGTTATTGTCGTTTCTGCGTTTTGTTCGATTTCGTTCTCTTTGCTGTCTTATTTCTTCGAATTACTGCTTGCGTAATTCCGGCGATCTGGAATCGTCCCCTACGCAAGAAAAGCTCGCTTTCATTAATCGAACTAGATCTTGAAAGTAAAATTCGTCAAAATGAACGCTTCAGCCAACCTGCGAGCGTCTAGGATTCGAACATCCATTCTAGTACCAGTGCAGGCTCCTCCAAGACTCAACAACCATGCCCTTCCTTCAAGAACAACCGGCATCGAGGTCGGCACAGGCGAAAGGCGGCGCATTGTGCAGACCTTGGACTATCTCGAATACCGCGTCCGATGCGACATGGATAGAGAGGCATCTCTCCCATCCCCGATCAAAGAGTACACCATCGAAGACGCCATCGAGGTCGAGACATCGAGACGGTCACAGGTCGCCCGCATGTTTACCATCTTTCCGTATAAAGATATGAACTGGATAGTCACCATGCTCTTCGTCGTCGGCAGTATCGCCTTCGTCATCAACGCAGGGTTTGGCTTGTTCCCGCTTCTCGACCCAAGTCTTGGCTTCGAAACACTGGCGACCGTCGCGATTCCGGGTACGATCCTGATTGGTGCCTCCATGTTCATGACCGGAGGCATCCTTGGCATCTTTGCCGCCTTCAATGCCGACCGTGGAACGCTGGAGAAGAGCGACACCAAGTCTGTAGACGGCGATGCCCCTGCTATTTACCGGCCCGCCCTCGTCGGATCCGAAGCTTGGGTATGGATCCCGTCCGCGGCCGATTTCGCTGCCCTCCTACGCACAGTTCCGTTCCAGGCCGGGTTGGTCATGTTGTCCGGCGGAATTATTCTATCAACGGCTGCTGTTGCTGGGTTCCCGGGCGTCCTTGACCCGACCAACCTATTCCTCCTCCAAGCCCTCGTCTTCATGCCGCAAGTCATTGGCGGGTCTCTTTTCTTCCTCGCCAATACCGCTCTGCTCATACAGACTCAGGAACGCTGGTTCAAGCCCAGGTTTTGGGCATCTGACTGGCAGGGTGCTGCCTGGAACACCATGGCATCGGCCGGCTTCATCGTCACAGGTGTCATGCTTCTCACCAACGAGATGTTCGGCAGTGCCGTGGTCTCGTTCATTGCCAGTACTGCCTTCTTGGTTGGTAGTATCATCCAGTGGTACGCCCTGATGGAATTTCATTCGACATCTTGGGCGGCTTAATGTGGGAACGGGTAACAGCGGTAGTCAGTAAAGCTTAGGATTAGTCTGAGGCATTCGCCACTGCGCTCCCCTGGAGGCACAGGTCAAAATAGATCATGCAACTATTGTGGGCGCAGAACTCTGGTTCAGATTTCGTGACTGAGCAGTAGTAGTGATATCGTGAGGGCAGTGTTCCCGTTCAAAGGCTGGGTGGTTGTCAACGCTACCTTATCATTTACGCACTTACAGGTTCCCTGCTAAACAGAACAAAAAAAAAGACGCGAGAACAAAAATACGAAAGAAAGATAGCACAACCTGGTTTCGATCCAGGGACCTCTGGGTTATGAGCCCAGCGCTCTACCCCTGAGCTATTGTGCTTGTTGAATGGGGTTGTTGTTGAAAATTCTGCACCAAATTTGCAGCATAGGGCTTAGACCTTGTGGATCGTGTGTTTGTGTGTGATTCACGTACCCGTGTGGGTCATTTGGCCTCAAAACTTCCAACACGCCCATCCCGCACAAGTGTTCCCTTTTTCTTTTTTTTTTTTTTTTTTTTTTTTTTTTTTTCAAATATGAGTCATGAGAATTTTGCAGATCCAACAGAGATGAATGATATTAATTCTAAGAATCTTCATGCAGGGTTCAGCAAACTTCGGACAGCATACGATCTCAGCCGTCGGATTTGGGCCTATTTAACCCGGATAGATCTGACCGTGGGTCACTTCCGCTCAAGACCACCACTCTGTAACAGACGTCGCAATCAAATCCTTGGTTTCATTTATAAACATATTTATCCAGCCATGGACATCGTACATCCTCATGAATCTTGCCAAAGTCTCAAGTCAGCTTTGCCCTCTCAGTCCCTTTGCTCGTCTTCTTCTCGTTGAAAATCTCACTGGCAACAGACAGTGCATCTCTTCCAGCAGGGACCCCACAGTAGACCATTGCATGTCTACAGGCCTCAACAATCTGCTCCTCTGACAGCCCGTTGTTGAGGGCCGCCTTGATGTGAATGCGCAATTCCGGGCCTCGGTTGAGAGCGATGAGCATGCCGATGTTCATTAGAGACCGTTGCTGAAAGGTGAGACCCGGCCGAGCGTATGATGAGAAGCAAGTTTCGGCGATGTATTCAGACCCGACCTTGCTTGGCAAATCGTCTCGCTTTTTCTCGGAGTCAGCGATGACTTCCACTCGGCGTTGATGAAGGACTCACCGAAGCTTCCCTGAGCTCATTGAACAAGTCCTCGCCGAAGAACCCGTTCATCATCTTAAGCCCCAAAAGCTGGTTTTCGGTCAAATTCTCCATCTCGAGCTAGGTCAACAATGCCCAATCTTTGTATAGAGCAATAGGTTGTCCAGAAGCTGCATGCAATCTTGAAGACAACGATGAATGGCCACGCCGCCCTAGAAAATAGCGCCTTTATCACTTCGGGATACCACAATGAATGGCATACCGGTAATGGGGGACACGACCCCTGATATGTTCGGCAGGGAGTGAGGCAATCTGTACAGTGCCGAGCATGTTGCTAATACCGAGAACCGATGTCTCCCTGATAAAGTAAGAAGGTTAGAACTATATTTTGTGAAGAATTCTTTTGTGAGTTTTTATATAACTAAAGGGAATATGAGGACCTTTTTTTCTTCTACTTTAACCTAAGTTAGTTTCTTTAACTACTATATTATAATTTAGATAAGGGTAATAATAGTAATTAGTTCTTAAAACTATTTACTATATTATTTAACAAATATTTTATTAATCTCTTTTATATTATTCTTATTTTTTAAACTTTTAGTAATCTTTTAAATCTTTACTTAATTTAATAAAAAACTTATTTTTAAAGGTCTTTTTAAAAACTTAATATATATTATAAAAAAGTATAAAGATATTATATGATTATTCTTAGTTATAAATGTAAGGGTCTAGTGTTACGGTCAGCTATCCGACAGTAGGGTCTGCTAACAGAAGCTGGGGATTGACACGTAGTAACAGTACACTGAGGTCGTGTTCTGGGTCGTAGGTCGTAGGCTTGTAGTAGATCAGGTCTTCAGAGGCTAAGGTGATCAGTCTTAGACTCAACAAGTAATTCGCAGTGAAGGTAAGCTGAGAGTATCCTGGGGATGAATACTAAGTTGATTGCTGAAGAGCTATGGAAGTCTGACCATGAGCCAGGCTCAGG